ATGACCGAGCAGAGGAAGAACAAGCAGCGTTTGGGTTTTTTAGGTTCTCAGTCGAACCACCACATCCCGTCTCACTGAGCCCGGACGCCCGCCGCCACCCGAGGGCGACGCTCCACGTGACGCCCTGCACCCGCCGCCGCCACAAACACTCTGCTCCTGTCTGTACCGGTGCACCTGTCACTCACCTGCCAGCGCTCCTGTCAGACGTCCTTTGTGTTCAGAGTCAGAGTTATGCAACGACCGTGTGGAACATTTAACCACGAGTGCCTCTGGACGGGCAAGAGAGGGACTCAGCCTGGTCCAGGACTGGTTTAGTCCAAGTCTAGGCCTGGTTTAGTCCAAGTCTAGGCCTGGTTTAGTCCAAGTCTAGGCCTGGTTTAGTCTTATTCTAATCCAAGTTTAATCTTGGTTTACTCTAGTCAATGTTTTGTCCTGATCTAATCCTGGTTTAGTCTGGGTCTAGGCTTGGTTTAGTCCTGGTCTAGTCCATGTTTCTTCCTGGCCTAATCCTTGTTTAGTCCTGGTCTAACCCAGGTTTAGTCTTGGTCTTTTCCTAGGTTAGTCTTGGTCTAATCCTGGTTTGGTTTTAGTCTTGGTGTTGGCCTGGTTTAATCTTGGTCTAGTCCATGTTTCTTCCTGGTCTAATCCTGGTTTAGTCTTGGCTACTCTGGTCCAGGTTTAGTCCTGGCCTCTTCCTGATTTAGTCTTGGTCTAATCTTGGTTTAGTCTTGGTCTAGGTCTAGTTTAGTCCTGCTCTAATACTAGTTTAGTCTTGGTCTACTCTGGTCCATGTTTAGTCCTGTTCTAATCCTGGTTTAGTTTGGGTCTAGGCCTGGTTTATTCCTGGTCTAGTCCTGGTTTAGTTTTGATCTAATCAAGATTTTAGTTTTGTCCTAAACCTGGATTAGTCTTGGTCTACTCTGGCCCATGTTTAGTCCTGGTCCAGTCCTGGTCCAGTCCTGGTCCAGTCCCGGTCCAGTCCTGGTCCAGTCCTGGTCCAGTCCTGGTCCAGTCCTGGTCCAGTCCCGGTCCAGTCCTGGTCCTTGTGTTATATATTTCTGTAGTTTTTAAACTGGATTGTGTTCGTGTGGAGAGAATCGCTGCTTCCCGTTCTCTCTGTTTGTTTTTTGTTTGTTTTTTTAACGGTACACCTCATATCTGCTGACCGTGCACTTTTTAAACCAGGGTTTATTCTGGAAGGTTTAACTCGGCTTTGGGGTTTATTCTCGCCGTCCCTCGTTAACGACGCCGTCACTGCACCATTTCACTCGTGTTTTTACTCCTGTCTATTAATGTGAAGAAATAACGGCTTTTTACTTGAATCTTTTATTTCCAGATCTCATATTTTGCGCTTGAATCGGTCTGAATGTCGTCGTGCCTTTTTGGTTTTTGTTTTTTGTTTTTCTTCTCGTCTTAAATTTCAGCCCTCGATTGTACTTTATGCAGTTTCAGACGTGTCGGGCCGAACGCGCCTGAACATGTGGAAATGTGTATAGAAAGTGTTTTATCTTGTCAAAAGTAATAAATTTATAACATGAATCGCTTTTAAACTTGTGTCTTTTTGCCGTTTTTAAGTCAAAAGTGTCTCAAAATTCATCTTTTTCTGAAAATCAAACTCCGAACGCTCGACGTGACCACAGGCTCCTGAAAATGTAAGTTTTTAGATTTTTTTTTCAAATCAAGAGTTTGTTTTCCTCGTCTCGTGATGTTTCTGTGACGTTTTTCTTCGCTCAATTTCATTTCTCTCACTAGTTCAGGAATCAGAAAACACTAAACGATTCGCAAAAATCCCAGAAGAGCGAGTTCAGGCTCCAGCCAATCAGAGAAGAGCCAGACATTCCCGAGATCCCCGAGGATTTAAAGCCGGAACAAAGAGAATGTTTGGTGACGTTATTGTTCTTCTTTCTTCGGGATTCGGAGCTTTACAAACGTCACGACCTACGGAAGCCGAGTGGGTCACAACAAACGCAAACGGCGCAACAAATACAAATGCGACAACACAACTAAAAAGCCACAACAGAAATGACCGCGGGACTCTATTTTAATACAAACGCCGCAACATATTAAAAAGCCGCAACACATTAAAAAGCCGCAACACATTAAAAAGCCGCAACACAAATGCAAAAGCCGCAACACATTAAAAAGCCGCAAACACAAATGCAAAAGCGCAACACAATGCAAAAGCCGCAACACATTATAAAGCCGCAACACATTAAAAAAGCTGCAACACATTAAAAAGCCGCAACACATTAAAAAGCCGCAAACACATTAAAAGCCGCAACACATTAAAAGCCGCAAACACATTAAAAAGCCACCGCAACACAAATGCAAAAGCCGCAACACATTAAAAGCCGCAACAAAAGCGCAACACAAATGCAAAAGCCCGCAACACATAAAAGCCGCAACACATAAAAAGCCGCAACACAAAAGCAACACAACACATTAAAAAGCCGCAACACATTAAAAAGCCGCAACACATTAAAAAGCCGCAACACATTAAAAAGCCGCAACACATTAAAAAGCCGCAACACATTAAAAAGCCGCAACACAAATGCAAAAGCCGCAACACATTAAAAAGCCGCAACACAAATGCAAAAGCCGCAACACAAATGCAAAAGCCGCAACACATTAAAAAGCCGCAACACAAATGCAAAAGCCGCAACACATTAAAAAGCCGCGACACAAAACGCAAAAGTAGCAACACAAACGCAAAAGCTGCAACACATTAAAAAGCCGCAACACAAACGCAAAAGCCGCAACACAAATGCAAAGGCCGCAACACATTAAAAAGCCGTAACACAAATGCAAAAGCCGCAACACATGCAACACATTAAAAAGCCGCAACACAAATGCAACAGCCACATTAAAAAGCCGCAACACAAATGCAAAAGCCGCAACACAAATGCAAAACCAGCAACACAAATGCAAAAGCCGCAACACATTAAAAAGCCGCAACACAAATGCAACAGCCACAACACATAAAAAAAGCCGCAACACAAAGCAAAAGCCGCAAACAAAATGCAAAAGCCGCAACACAAATGCAAAAGCAACACAAATGCAAAAAGCCGCAACACATTAAAAAGCCGCACACAAATGCAAAAGCCGCAACAAGCAAGCAACACATTAAAAAAGCCGCAACACAAATGCAAAAGCCGCAACACAAATGCAAAAGCCAGCAACACAAATGCAAAAGCAGCAACACAAATGCAAAAGCAGCGCAACAACATTAAAAAGCCGCAACACATTAAAAAGCCGCAACACAAATGCAAAAGCCGCAACACATTAAAAAGCCGCAACACAAATGCAAAAGCCGCAACACAAATGCAAAAGCCCGCAACACAAAAAAAGCCGCAAAAGCCGCAACACAAATGCAAAAGCCGCAACACATTAAAAAGCCGCAACACAAATGCAAAAGCCGCAACACATTAAAAAGATGTCGAAGTCAGAGGAGCAAATACAGTCATTCTCAGACGTCTGTGAGGCACTCTAATGTCAAACAAATTGTCGTCACGTGTCCAGGTTCGGGTTTGACTCCGCAGGTTTCTCCATTGTCACGTTCACGGTTCACGGTCACATTTTTATACGGCGAACCACCGGAGATGTTTATGTGGAGACCAGAATCGAACCTCCAACCGGATCAGAGGACAAACGCTCGACCGGCTGAGCCACCGTCGCTCCACATGTGCGTTTAAGAATGTGAAAACACAACCACAGCTGGATTCTTCACGTCCTTTCAGCGTCTGTGGGTCACTTAACTTCAGGTCGTCCAACTTTTTTAGTTTTCTGTTTTTCAGTTTCAGTCTGATAACTTCTGAATATTCTTCTATCTCGACTTGAAGAAGAAGACAAGGATGAACGGATGAACATTTCGTGACAAAGAGAAGTGTCCGAGTCAGCGCCGCTTCATAAAGTTTTACATATTTACATAAATAATTAACAATTCATAATAATTCATTTGTATTTTTGTTTAAAAAGGAATGTAAAATGTTTAAGTACCGTAATTTCAGGACTATTGAGCGCACCTGAATAAAAAACACATCAACTAAATTTTAACTAAATTTTAAAATTGCACAGATTTCAGTCGCACTGTTACAAAATGTTTTCTGATTTGTTCTTGTGTTGTTTTCACAAACAGAAAACTCCTGAAGCTTGAACATGTTTGAGTAACTGTTTATTATTCGTCTGTCTACATCTTCAAAACTCCAAACACTCTGTTCCAAGTTGTGATGTCATCAAGTGGCAGTTTTCATATTAAGTTTTTGTTGTTGTTGTTGTTGTTTTTTTTAGTTTCGTAGAGATTCGACAATTCAAGAACAGAAATGATCCAAAAGATTCTTGTGAAAGTGTGTGGAGTTTAAAAACACAGTGGTGAATTATTTAATTTTATTTTATTTTTATTTATTATTATTAATTTTTTTTTATTTTTTTTTATATATACTTTTATTTTATTTATTTATTTTACTTTTTATTTAATTAATTTATTTCATTTTTATTTGTACTGTGGCATTTATTTATTTTTTAAAGTTTAAAGTTTTGATTTATTATGAAAACCTATAAATTAAATTATTAATAAAAGTAATAATAAATAAATAAATAAAAATAAATAAGAATAAATAAATAAATATGAATAAATAAATAAATAAATATGAATGAATAAATAAATATGAATACATAATAAATAAATAAATAAATGAATAAATAAATATGAATAAATAAAAAATAAATAAATATGAATGAATAAATAAAAAACAGTGGAGCACTCCCTGTATTACCACATGACATCACAAGGTGGAACAGAATGTTTTTTGTTGTGTTGGGAGAAGAGCTCAATCTAAATGTGCAGAGTTTGTGAGTTAAAAAAGTGTAAATGAAACAAAAAAAAAAACAAGTCCAGGTTTGATTTATGACGAGGAAACGACACGAGCGCAGACGTCAGATCAGCGTGACACGGCGCTTTAATGTCGTACTGCGGGACATTCTTGGCAAATCAGTAACTTAACCTGAAGTCACCTCCACCAGGAAAGTGACGTAATGAAGCTTTTTAATCAGATTTGGACGAGAGGACGGTTTTCTTTTTTTTTCATTTAAGTTCGACAAACCGAAGTCCAAGGCCTGAAGTCCAGTAAATAAACTTGTGACAGGTTCGAGATTTGTTTTTCACACGGAGGTAAGAGGAGACGCACACACACGCACACACACGCACACACACACACACACACACACACACACACACACACACACACACACACAGTTGTTGTTGACAGTCGAGGTCATTTAAAAATAAAACAGCTCTGGGTGACTGGCATGTGACTTCCTGTCTGCCTCCTGCTGATCACATGACCTGAGTGTATCGTCACAACACACACACACACACAACCGCAACCTCACAAGAACACACATATACACAAACACACAACCACATAAGAAGACACGTGCACAACCACACACATATACACACAAACACACACAAGAACACACACACATATATACACACACACATACACACACACACAAATACACACACAAATACACAAGAACACACACAAATACACACATATACACACACAAATACACAAGAACACACACAAATACACAAGAACACACACACACATATACACACACAAATACACACACAAGAACACACACAAATACACACACATATACACAAGAACACACACAAATACACAATACACACATATACACACACAAAATACACACACAAGAACACACACAAATACACACACAAATACATACACAAGAACACACACACACAAATACACACACATATACACACACAAATACACAAGAACACACACAAATACACAAGAACACACACAAATACACACACACACACATATACACAAGAACACACACAAATACACACACAAGAACACACACACACATATACACACACACAAATACACAAGAACACACACACATATACACACACACACATACACAAGAACACACACAAATACACACACATATACACACAAACATACACAAGAACACACACAAATACACACACACACACACACACAACATACACACACAACACACACACACACAACATACACACACATATATACACACACAAATACACAAGAACACACACACACATACACACACATATATACACACACAAATACACAAGAACACACACAAATACACAAGAACACACGCAAATACACACACATATACACAAGAACACACACAAATACACAAGAACACACACACACATATATACACACACAAATACACACACAAATACACACACAAGAATACAAGCACACAACCACACAATCACACATGCACACACACACACAAACAAACGCACACTTGCATAAACACACAAACACATGCACAAATGCATACACACACACAAGCACACTAGAACACACAAACACATTCATGCACATACAAACACTCAAATGCACACCAAAACACACACACACACACGCACAACCACACACACATGAACACAAAACACACACAAACACACAACTTTGTCTCCTACTACTGCTGTAAAAAAACATAACAAACACACACA